TTCTATCAGTGCCACCGAAGAAGGTCTCGCGAGTTCTCTAATCGGCTCCCCCTACCGCTTTGGCAGGAAACTGCTGTGCGTCCCTAGTAATTCCAGACAGACGTTGCAGAAGCAAACCAGCAAAACTGGTTGGCGACCAGACGCAAGCTACATTTGATGTGTGTGGTTGCAGAAGTATAATGCACCCTTTAGGAAGCTAGCTTTCAAGGTGATGAAAAACTCAAACCCTTGATGCTTGTTCTTATTGCAAAGGAAAATCCCAATTGCGATGTCGGTTGAAAGAAATCGCAATTTTTTATCATTGGTAAAATCCTACAGCACTAATTCCAATTAATATTTTCTACAGGAAATTGTTCAGGGGTATTTCTTAAGAATTAAAAACGGTTCCCTCGTTTCACGAGTCCGTTCCATCGCTGACGTTCAGATGTTCAGGTCAGGATTTCACTGCTTCAGATTGGTGTGTTGTTTAATCTAGTGGGCTAAGATTTTCTTGGCACCCTTTGTACCCCTTATCTCTACTTATAGCCACTTCCAGCAGGATAATAATCCATGTTGGAGAGATTAAATCCCCCTAAAACTGGTTTCCTCCACATGATAATGAGCCCTCTGCTCTAATGGCCTCCACAGCTCCCAGATCACAATAAAAAAGGTGCTCAATTCATTGTTTCAAAGAATTGAGTAAGAAGAAATATCTAATATACATTGACATTCTATGACCATCTAATGAGCCACTTTTGTCTTTTGCTGAGTTTTAAATACATAATCATGGACATCATTTGTTAGTAATACCTACATTATGTGTTATCTATAAGGTAATGCAATACTGACCTTGGATAAAAGAAACAAACCTTTAAATGTCCATGCTTTAAATGGAACTGATCTTTGGGAGCGATTTGTTTGTATTGACCTGATGGAGAGGTCAGCTGCACTTGACCAGGAACAGAAGCAACGCTTCGATCAATACTAATGTGCCTTCCTGGCGCAGGTCGGCTTTGAGGCATCCATCGGCAGAATGGATGGTTGTTTACCTCCGCGCTCTTACAAGAAGGCTGAGGTCGACCGCTGAGGGTTTTTTTTTTTTTTATTGACATTTAAACGCAGCACCGTCTTGGATGTTGATGGATCCATTTCAACTTTTCCAAACCAGCCTACAACCACTGTAACGCACTCGGGCCATGCATTTGGCTCTACCCTCGTCCCCCTACACAGTCCTGCCTTTATTTCCTGCTGTGACATCATCACCGCCCCTGCTGACTCAGAGTTCCCTTCTTCCCGCTTCCTGCTCCAGACAGGAAATGAGCAGGGCAGGACATTTGGAGCGAGGGAAACGTGGGCGGACAAAGACACACCTGTGTTCACCACACTAGACTCCGTGTTCCCTCACACTGTTGTCGAAGTGGGACACGGAGCTTATTTATAGGCAGATGTGTGTTTTTTGTGTTTGGTTGGGTTGACTTTACTTTAATTTAAAAAGATCTTATTTTAATATATTTCTAACCTTTTAACCCACTGAAATAAAACCAAAGTAATGCTTTTTAAACCCTCCTGAGCCTTGCTGGTAAGCTGATCTGGTTGTGCCGCAGACCTGTCTTTGTTTTCAGCATGCAGCAGCTGCCAACCCGGCCCCCTTTTTGCTGCTGTGACTGAGGCGACTGTGCTCCCTGCAGCTGCGCAGACCCATGTGTCACTGCCACACCTGTTCAATAGGCTTGTGTTGACAGAGCGATATCACACGTCGACTGTCTGCAAATTACAAGAGCGACACGGCACAGCCTGACCTATAATCTAACCGGGCAATTATGTTTGTTTTTCTCTTTTTTTAAAGACAGCACTCTCCCCGTTGTTACTAGTGGTGTGTTTGCTGTGAAAACACTCTTTTGCCTCCACAACAGTTGGTGGGAAGAAAAGCAAGAGAAGCAGCTGAGGGGATAGCTTTTGCTGTAGTTAGCCTTAGCATCATCTCACTTCCACACATACTGCACAATATTAGTGCTTATACTCCAAGGCAACCTCTGTATGCAAGCTAAAACTATAATATTTTTCCCCTTGTTAGGGTTGGATTAAGAATTTCACTTTAATAAAAGTGAGATTGAGCTTTTTTAGCAATATTTTAAATAAATCAGGCTTTAAAAATACACATATAGCGGAGGAAGTGTGATGCTGCGGGCCTTTTTTCACTCAATAATTTTTAAATGCTTGTTAGAGTGCTGAGATGGTGGTTTCAACATGCTCACATGTAATCAACTTGTAAATTTTTTGCTACAACAAGCTCCTAACATATGAGTCTGCACTGTAGGGTGCTGAGGTGTTTAAACCTGCAGACTTGTGAGTCACAATCGATGCACACCTAACAGTTTTGACAAGGCTCTGACTCATGTCAGGGTTACTGGATAACGTGCATCATCTGTTTTAGTTTTCTTCCCTGTCTGTGTGATTTCTTTTCAATGTAGACGTAAAGCAGGAGAGTTTATATTAAAGGCTATAGGCTGCTTGATTGGTTTCAAAGCTTAGCAGAAAGAGTCATTTTGTCTGAGCTTAGCTGATTCTCCAGCTCAAGCACCCTTCAGTGTTAATCCACTGCTTTCTTTTGCCGAAGAACTCGCTTCGCTCTGATCCAGCTGCGATGTTCTTGAGCACAAGAAGAAAACTAAAACTAATAGAGCAGCTGTAATCTGTGATGTTTGTCTGGAAGGCCTTTAGTGAGGTGTGGTTAGACTCAAACAGAAACCAACTCATGAGTAATTCTGTTTTTTTCCTTCTTTTCCTAGGGGATAAAAGCCCGGCCGCAGAGTGGAGTGCTGGTTTGACCTTTACCCTTAGTAGGAAGAAAGGAAAAGCCACTTCAGAGGTAAGAGTTCCTGTAAATTATAGTTGGTAAATGCTGACATTGCTGTTTCGCTTGTCTAAAAAGGACAAGCTTTGGTGAAGTAGCAAGCGCTGGGTTCCTACAGAGTTTGGAAAACTACGGATTTTTGATTTCAGTCATTTCATTTAAGTATGTATGGATATAGGAAGTAGTGTCCCGCTTCTTTTCTTTATTTCCTCTTTCCCTTCCCTACTTCCTTAGATCACTGTTTGTTGTTATTCCTTATTACTTCTTTTTATCCCTTTAGATTTTACCCCTCATCGGTGTTCTTCCTTCCTTCCTGCTTTCCTTTTTGTTGTCCTGCCTCCCTTTCTTTGCCTATCTATAAATTCTTATGTCCTCGCTCCTCAACAACCTAGCTTGTTTTCCACAGTCCTTCCTTCCTTCCGTCGGTCCTTCCTTCCTTCCTTCCTACCTTCCTTCCTTCATTCCGTCAGTCTTTCCTTCCTTTCTTCCATCGGTCCTTCCTTCCTTCCGTCGGTCCTTTCTTCCATCGGTCCTTCCTTCCTTCCTTCCTTCCTTCCTTCCTTCCTTCCTTCCTTCCTTCCTTCCTTCCTTCCTTCCGTCGGTCTTTTATTCCTTCTTTCCTTCCTTCCGCCGGTCTTTCCTTCCTTCCGCCGGTCTTTCCTTCCTTCCGTCGGTCCTTCATTCCTTCCTTCGGTCCTTCCTTCCTTCCACCGGTCCTTCTTTCTGCCCTTCCTTCCTTCCCCTCCTTCCTTCCTTCCTTCCTTCCTTCCTTCCTTCCTTGTCTCTCTTTTGATTTTCTTCCCTTTTTGGGTCATTTTGTCCCTCTGTCTTTTCCTGTGTCCTACATCATTAATTTCTTGTGTCATGCTTCCTTCCATCCATCCTTTCTCTTAATTGAACTCCCTCCCTAGCTTTGATTCTCCTACCTTTATTCCTTAATTTTATGCCCTCCCTTCTTTGGACATGTCTTTGTCTCCATCCACTCTTTCTTCCCTTTCTTACTGTCCTGTTATTTTTTTCCGAGTTCCACATTCAAAATAGCATCATCTGAGCCTGAAAACATTGTTTAGTACGTACATGATGAATGTGGAGGAATCCTGTAAGTCCCTTTGAAGTAAAACTCCGGAAAACCCATGCCTCCTTACACCGGGTGTCACTCAGATACCCGTTAAGCTTTATTTAAACCAGCCTCCTCAGTCATCTAACTGAATTACATTTTTATCTCAGTGGTTTTACCAGTTTACAATAGAGATTCATTTAGTTTGTTGGTTGCTGTGAGTTCAGATTTTTAGGACCGTAGCGATTTACGCCCGAAAAATTCCCTGAGAAGGTTGGTGTAAATCAAAGCCAAATGAAAGAGTCCTCCTCACTGAAGGAGATCATTCTTGACTTAAGTGGAAACATGTGAGGCTGAATGGAGGCCATGGTTTTCAGAAATATGCTCTCTTTATACCATTTATATGTTTCCCTGTTGATCTAATCCTTTACTTGAAGACTAAGGAGATATGAAGGAGGTTTAATCAACAAATGACAGAGAAAACTAAAGGTGTGCTCTACTTTTTTAGAGCCTATGGTTTATAAAGCTTAACATTTTAAAGGTGTTGTAATGGTTGCAGAAAGACCAATCTGATCAGACACCTTACTTGAAATGTGGCACAGGGCAGTCTGACTTTTAATCTGAAATATATATTTTTATAATCTTGCAGGCATACATTACAAAACTAAAGTTAAATGTTGCTTATTTTCAACATTGTAATATATGGTATTGTTTTACCACAATTAGATTTGTTATTTCATCGCTATCCATCTTTCACCTAGCCATTGGAAACAAATGTAGTTCAATCCAACTGCAGGAGATGGAGAGATCAGAATTTTATCTTGCTAGTGTCTTGCCCTTATGGGAAATGCTGTCTTCCCAAAAAAGCAAAACAATATAGCTTTTGTTCACTGGGGGGAGTCAAAAATGACTAAAACTGTAATGTGACTGTAAATGTAATGTGACAAAATTGAGTGCTTCTACGTTTGAAAATCATTTTTTCTAAACTGTGATTATATTGAAAAATCAATGAATTACCCAGCCCTAGTTTTGAGATATTGAATAATATTCACAAACCCATGTTTGTGAATAAATTGCCATTGTTTTGTTATTTTGTAAACATAGTTTACCTGCTGCTTGTTAAATGCCTACCTTCAGGTTGAACTTTCATCTTATTTATTTAGTTACTGCTGTTGAAAGTTCAGTTCAGTTCATTTCAGTTGCTTTTATTTGTCCCAGTATGGGCAATTTTTTTGCAGTAGTAGTACACCTTTCACACATATTTTCTAATTTCACAAATCACAGATAAAAAATAAAAGAAGAAACACAAGAAACACATAAAATATTTTTAAAAGTTACGTATGCTGGCATAAAATTGGTTCGGTCCAACTTTCTTTCTCAAGTGTAACTGCATGAAAAAACTTTATGTCCCCAAATAGACGACTGTTGTGATATTTTGGAGTCCAGTCTGTTTTGTTTTGGTGCAACTTTTTAACTTGTTTTACAGGATTTGGCTTTGTGCAATAAGTTCTGGACTGAAATCTTAAAGGTATAGTGGAGGATGTTCTTTTTCCGGGTGGATCATCAAAATAAGTGGTCCCCCAAATTGTCAATCATTCTGGGGATATGTTTACTTAAGGCTGTCCTACTTGCTTATCCCCAATTTCACTTACCACTGTCATAACTAGTGGAAAAAATTGCAAATCTTCTTTTGGAAAGTAAGTTTGTATGAGTGATGCAAACAGCAACTTTCAAACAGAGCGTGCACGAGGAGAAATGGGCTTGTGCAGGCTCTTGCACACGTTTCATAAGCGTTCCGTCTCAAGAGTGGGTACAGGGTTGTGCATGTGCATTTTTTTAAATTAAAGTAGAGGGGGTGGGTCTCTCCTCCACTATAGCTTTAAGTTAGATATGTAACTCAAGTTGTCCATTCAAGGGAGCGTTTTAACTGCAGGTCTCTCATTCGGTGGACATACAAGAGTTACACCAGTCTTAGTGTGAAGCGACTCTGTCCACCGATTATTTATTGTTAAGTGTTAAGCCAGTAGCCCTGTCCTATCAGAACCGTACCGTTATTCTATTTACATACTTCAGAGGTAGAGCCACACAGTGGGCCACAAACATGTCTGTCAGACTTGGTTAAAAGCCACCTCAAGTTCTCTTGCACAGCATTTGTTTTGTGTCTCATAATCCAAGGCCAACTGTGTACGAGGCGTGTCACTGACAGCTGCTTGGTGTCACTGGGGCCAAGTTGAGCTCTAAAGGCAATGCAATCTTATCCTGGCTCCAATGTCAAAGCCGCTTCTTTGACTTAGACCTACCTTACTAACCCTTCGTTCAGCAAACACTCACTTTTCTGCAGCTTTTTGGTTCTACCCAAATATGTGTGGAGGACTCATCCTAGACAGATCCCAATGTGAACAGTTCTGCTGTCTTAAGGAAAAGGGTGAAAGGCTGATTTCAAGTCTGCTGCTGAACTTGACAACTTTAGATATTACAGCAGCCTGAAAAAGCCCACCTGTAGTATCTGGAATATAGAGGGGTGTAGTCATCTCGCGCTCTCCTGCAGAACCTTAACCCCACAGCCATCCCATAGCCTGGGCTGCAACCTCATGGTGATCGGGACAGAAATTGCAGAGAAGCTACTTTCTTCCATAGCATGCCAATGGGTGATGGAGTAATCTTCATCTTTACTTTATACACCATCAGCCTGGAAGAGGGGTTTTTGTGTGTGTATGAGTATATAGAGAGGCTTTTATTGCCTGACGCTTGATTTCTCTGTCTGGCTTTAGTGTAAATGGTCTACTGCAGGGGGTTGGGATTGATTAGACCAGGGGTCACTAATAGGCGGAGTCCGGTCCGGGTCTGGAGCAAAATTATGTCTCATGTGGACCTGAAATGAATACCAAAACATAAACTACAACCTAAAATCTTATTGAGAACTTTCTGGTTTACCGGCGCAGCTTTTAGAGTCCTTACGGTAGTAGTCATGCATCCAAGGAAACCTACAGACCAATTGCATATGCGAGTTTGGTTATACCACGTGATACCAACAAGCCGAGCGAGAACAGAGAAAACATTACCGAGACGAAGTAGAGAGAAACGGGCAGAGAAGAAGGGAAAATATACATGACAGATAAAAATGATGGAGGCAACAGAGAAGGAGGGGAGAAACGTACACAACTAGAAAAGGGACAAATGGCATTTCTGTTTATTCTTCCGACTGGCAGCAAAAAACCACTATGTCCAGTTTGCTCAGAAACTGTGGCACTTACTAAAAGTGGAAATGTTAAACGTCACTATGAGACTAAACATGAGTACCTCCACACATGCATGAGAATGGCTCATACTCCATTTAAACCCAGGTTTAAAATTCTGGCAGGGCAAACAAGAGCTCACGTCTCTTCACTGAAAGCAAAAGAAAAAAAAACGATTGTTCAAAAAGTTCAGTTATTAGATGTGTTCAGAATTTAAATTGTACAATAGTTTAAAGACCGTTCAGATGGAAAATCCAGCTTTCCTCCAATATTTTTTTAAAGTCAGACACTTCAGAGCATGCGCAATTTTAATGTTACGCTTAGTTTTCTTTCGTATATGACATCCTACTTTTACTCAGTAAATAAGACATGGATGTTCAGCTCCTTGTTTCATGACAATAAATATTGTCAAAAAATACTTGAAAAGATTAAATTTGAATAAAGGCATGCAGATGTTGATACAACTACATTTATATATATATATATATATATATATACACATGCATACATATTTATGTAAAAAAAACATTAAATAGTTGAACTTATGGACCTTGGCATTGTGAAATATTGTCGGAATGGACCTCTTGAAGTTTTAATTGAATATCCCTGGTCTACAGGTACGTCTACTGGTACAGCCATGCTTGTTTTCCTTCAGCATGCTGCTTCTGGGTGACTTTATACACCTCACTATAATTCTTTGGCTGGAAACGTATCTGTATCCA